GTTGAGCAAGGGTGCAGGAGGGATTCCCTACAGAGGGCTGACAGACAGCCCGGGGCTGAGAGGAAGGCACTTTCGACATGGACATGGTTTGAAATCTCACTCCCAAGCATAGCACCCAACTCATAACAGGTGATCAAGAAATGTCTGATGAACTCATTCATTCAGTGTCTGTTGACTGCTCATCTTCCCGAGCTTCCCTTGATGGTATCGATCTCCTTCCCCGCGGAGTTCTCCTGTGAGGGATGGATGAGAATCCAAATGCCCATCGAGGTCCTGAACACCCAGGACCACCCTGCCCAGGCACTTCCATGAGGCTCCCTCTGGACGGAGAGGGGGATGAGGGAGGTGCCCCAGTGAGGGGGAACCCCCAGGAGTTTCTCTCTCTCCTCACTTGCTCTGTAATCCCAAAGCACACATCTTCCCCAAAGAGAAGGTGACATGTGACAAGAGTAGAAACAAAATAATTAGTATCCTCTTCCTTGACGAGGAGCCATGGGGATGGACTCCCCAAGGGTCCCCAAATTATAAACATCCTGCTGCACCCCCAGCCTCCCACTCACCAGCCCCAGGCTGCAGGTGGGGGGAGCACATCAGTTCCTCCCACAGACATCAGGACCACCTCCACCACCAGCCCAAGTTGCCCCCCATGCCCTTCCTTCCTAAGCTTCTTCTATCAGCTAGGATTAAGGAGACTTGCTGAGACCACCCATTGCCACGCCATCCTGGTGAGCAAGTGAGGGGAGAGAATATGGAGCTGGAAGGGGCTAGAGGAGAGGAAGCCGTTTCCTTCCTGGGTGTTGAGAGAGAGGACTGAAACCAATTCTAGACTCTGAGTGGACAAAGGGGACAGCTCTACATAGCAGCTGTTTTAATCAATCTGTGATTCTCACAACACCTTGAGATCACCTGTATCCTTTTTTTTTTAAGAGATAGGAGAGAGAGAGAGAGAGAGAGAGAGAGAGAGAGAATTTTTTTTTAATATTCATTTTTTAGTTTTCAGCGGACACAACACCTTGGTTTGTATGTGGTGCTGAGGATCGAACCCAGGCTGCACACATGCCAGGTGAGCGCGCTACCGCTTGAGCCACATCCCCAGCCCTCCTTTTTTTTTTTTAAGACAAGGTCTCCTGCTGCCTAGACCAACCTCAAACTCCTGGGTTCAAGTGATCTTCCTGCCTCAGACCTCCAGGCAGCTTTGGGGACCATAGGTGTGCACCATCAACACCAGTTACCTAGATCCTTTTCCTTTACAGACCTACAGGTATACTATGTTCTCGTTTACATCCTAATCACTTCAGCAACCCTTGGATTTTTCTGGAGACTTACGTTCCTTGGAAGGCAGAGGGATAAGAATTTATAATTTTTGTAATGTATTATTTTTTCCTAGCATGTGTTGACAGAATAGAGTTTAGCTCTGAAATGCCACATCTCATAAAAATTGGCCATGGCCAGGGCAATGGAACAAGAGAAAGTGAAGGAAAATCTAAGTTCAGATGACCTGCAAGCTAGATGCCCCAGCAGTTCTCTCAACCCCAGTATTCCTACTGTTGTTCTAAGAATACTCATAAATAATCAAGCTTCAACCTGATACAAATATTTCATTAAATTCTTCTGATGGGGCTGGGGATGTGGCTCAAGAGGCAGCGTGCTATCCTGGCACGCGTGGGGCACTGGATTCGATCCTCAGCACCCACAAAAAAATGAAATAAAGATGTTGTGTCCACCGAAAACTAAAAATATTAAACAATTCTCTCTCTCTCTCTCTCTCTCTCTCTCTCTCTCTTTAAAAAAAAATTCTTCTGATGTATTCTCATTGGAAATTGTTTTTTTAATGTGCCCCTAACTCGGTAAGAAGTGAATTGAGCAAAATAATATCCTCTCTGGCAGAAAGAGACAATATAAGGACTTGGTAAGTCATGCCATGGTAAGTTTTCTATTGCACATCATCTACTTATCTTCAGAGAAATGGATACTGGCACTTAACACATTCTTCATTGATGTTCATTAAAGGAAATGAAGGGCCAGGCACCGTGTTGCATACCAGTAATTCCAGAGGCAGGAGGATCACAAGTTCAAAGCCAGCCTCAGCCTCAGCCTCAGTGAGGGACTAAGCAACTCAGTGAGACCTTCTCTCTAAATAAAATACAAAATAGGGCTGGGGATGTGGCTCAGTGATCAAGTGCCCCTGAGTTCAATTCCCAGTACCAAAAACAAAGGAAATGAAGGATAAATGTGCCCACTGGGAGATGGAGACTGAGAAAGAAAACAGCCAGCCTTTGGTCTTGTATGATTGCAATAAAATATCTACTTCTATGGGCTTTGACGTGAAGCCTCTCCTAAGTCCCAAACTGATTAAGACAAAACAGAGAAGAGTCAACACCTACCAGCAACTCAACAGATTACAGTAGCCAAGGATGAGCACCCAAATTCTTTCTAAATAGATGGGCAAATAAGACCAAGTTCAGACCCATTAGCTATGTAAAAGAAATGAATGAAAATATTATCAAAATGTCCCCAGGTGTTTGTATTCTTTTTTAATATTTTTAGTGCTTTATAGTTATACATAATAGTGGGATTCATTTTAACATAATCATATATGCATGTGATATAATTTGCTCCATTTTAGACCCCAGTACTTTCTCTTTTATCCCCTATTCCCTTCCTCAACTCTACTGGTCTCTCTTCTATTTATTTATAGTTTTTAACTGGTACTTTATACATGAAGGTAGAAGTCACTGTGGTGTATTCACATATGTGCACAGCATAATTTGGTAAATTTCATCCTGCAGTTCCTCCCCTTTCCCATCCCTCCTCTTTCCTCCTCAGGCCCTTTCCTCTACAATTCTTTAACTATTTCTCTGGAGTCTGTATCATTTAAATCACTATTTTTATATGATTTCATAACCAAATGTTACTTTGCAGCTCATTTTTCTCATGATCATATCAACAGCAGGAAAAAGCACCTAGCATGCTTTGCTTTTCATCAAATGGGCATTTGAGCACAATTTTGTCATGTTTATGGAAACAGTTTACCTTTAATAGGCCTGACTGTGCCCCGGGTTTTTATTTTGAACAAGTTTTTTAAACAGCTATTGGACTTTACATAAACAATGTACATTTTTATGGTGGTGCAGAACTATTTCAACTGGAAGTAACAGTCTGTCTAGAACATTAAAAATTTTAAATGACTTATCCTACAAAGCTACTGTTCATGGGAAAATAGGCTTCCAAAATGCAAATAGATTTAAGAGTCCCTGTTTTTGGTCTGGGTTTTGGTTTTAACCAATTTCCAAGCTCTCCTTAAATTTCTGCCTAGCCAGCTGGCTTTCAACTGCATTCATCAATGGTATCTGACTCCCCCTGAAAATCTACTGACTGCTACCTCAGCATGCTGAACACTCAAGGCTAGAAAACTACTTCCCAGCTCACTAAAGCATTCCTGCTCTTATACACTGAATTAAATCATTTTAAATAACTCCAAGACTAATCATGCTGATTGTAGTTGCTACTGCAATTGTATCACTTAATTAAATAGTATATCTAATACAACAGTAATTTGATTTCACAGTGCTGGGAATCAAACATGACAGGCAAGTGCTCTACCACTGAATTACACCTAATAGCAATGTTTTAATTATTTTAGTTGACAAATATTGTATATATTTACAGTGCGCATGATGTTTAAAATCTGCATATGCAGTAGAATTGGTAAATCAAGCTAATGAGCAAATGCATAACTTGACATAATTTATGTGATGAAAATACTTAAAATCTACTCTCCTAACAATTTCCAAGAATGCAATATATTAACTGTAGTCACCATGTTATACAACAGATCCCTTCACCTTATTCTTCCTAACTTCATTACACCCTTTGACCAATACTCCCCAATCCCCACCCCACAGCCTCTGCTAACCACCCTCTACTCTGCTTCTATGAATTTGACACTTTGAGATTCCACATATAAGTGAGATCATATGTCTTTCTGTATCTGACTTATATCATTTAGCATAATGTTCTCCAGGTTTGTCCATGCTGATGCAAATAACAGACCTTCCTTCCCTCTTAAGGCTGAATAGTATTCCACTGTGTATATACATGCACCACAGTTTTCTTCTTTGCAGTGGCGGGGAGGGAACCCAAGGTCTCACACACACTAGGCAAGTGCTGTACCACTGAGTTACACCTCCAGCCATTAGTCTGTTCTTAATACAAAATTGATGTTCAAGCTGTATCTTGCTGGTGGAAGGGTGAAAGGGAAAGAAAAAAAAGAGAAAGAGGAAGAGATAATTGGAAAGGAAGAGAAGAACATGACCAAGTTCCCTCTGTTTATAGGCTTTCGGTTTAAATTTGATTCCACTGTGTTTTCTGTGAAACTTTGCTCTACTAAAAACAAAGGTATATCAGTCAGCTTTCCATCACTGTGACAAAACACCTGAAATAATGAACTTATAAAGAGGAAAAGGTTATTTTAGTCCATGGTCTTTTGGCCCTGTTGCTTTGGACTTGTGGTAGCAGAGTACATTATAGTGGAGCACATGGCAGAGGGGACCTGTCCACCTCATGTCAGTCAGGAAACAGAGAGTGAGGAAGGGAAAGAAGGAGGGACTGGGGTCCTACATCTCCTTCAAGGACAAGCTGCAATGACCTCACTTTCTCTCACTAGGTCCCACCTCTTAAAGGCTCCAGCCAACAGTGCCACAGAGTCATGACTAAGCCTTAAAAGCACATGGGCCTCTGGCGACACTTATCCAAACAATAGCAAAAGGTGACTCAACTTGGACAACCTGACTATGAACAACTGAGATCTCTGAGACACTGGCTGTCTCAGGCATGAATAGCTCAGGGGAACGGAAACCCAGTGAAGACAGCCTGAAGACAGGTTAACACAAAGGAATTTGCTGTAAGGAGCGTGTGGATTCGCACAGAACCCTCTTGGTCTCAGCAGAAAGCTGGGAGTGGGTGCCCATCTGACTCCCAGTTTTATATTGCTTCCCTCGCCCACTTCCAGCAAACAGAGGATGCCCATGAAACCAGAAAACCAAACGACAGTCTCAGAATTCCTCCTCCTGGGACTCTCAGAAAAGCCAGAGCATCAGAACCTCCTTTTTGGACTCTTCCTGTCCATGTACCTGGTCACTGTGCTGGGGAACCTGCTCATCATCCTGGCCATCGGCACAGACTCCCACCTGCACACGCCCATGTACTTCTTCCTCTCCAACCTCTCCTTGGTTGACATCTTCTTCTCCTCCACCACTGTCCCCAAGATACTGGTGAACATCCAGTCCCGGAGCAGAGCCATCCCTTTCGCAGGCTGCCTCGCCCAGATGTACGCCTTCCACCTCTTTGGGACCATGGACAGCTTCCTCCTGGCCGTCATGGCTATAGACCGGTTGGTGGCTATAGTCTACCCTCTGCACTACTCAGTCCTCATGAGCTCCCGGGTCTGTGGGCTATTGGTTGGGGGGTCATGGCTGGTCACCAACCTCCAGTCCCTGGTTCACACCTGCCTCATGGCTCAACTGACCTTCTGTGCCAGCTCCGAAATTCCCCATTTCTTCTGTGACCTCATGCCCCTGCTGAAGCTCTCCTGCTCAGACACGCATGTCAACGAGCGGGTGGTCTTTGCTTTTGGCATCATCATGGGCATCGGTCCGCTCTCCTGCATCCTCCTCTCTTACATCTGCATTTTCCGAGCCGTCTTTAGGATCCCTTCTGCGCAGGGCAAGTGGAAAGCCTTCTCAACTTGTGGCTCTCACCTCACCGTGGTATCGCTGTTCTATGGGACCATCTTTGCTGTGTACTTACAGCCCGCATCCCCCACCTCCTCCCAGAAAGACAAGGCAGCTGCGTTGATGTGTGGGGTGGTCATCCCTACGCTGAACCCTTTCATCTACAGCCTAAGGAACAAGGACATGAAGGCAGCCCTGAGGAAGCTGGTTGGCAGAGTAGCCTCCTCCTGGTCTTAGGGAGAGCAGATTGGGTGTCCTCTGGGTTCTGGGACCATTATTGGGTGTTAGGCACACAGAGATGCATCCCAATCCTGGCCTCAAAAAGTTCTGAGTCTGGCAGGGAACAGAGTCACCTAAATAAATCCTTATGATATGATGTGGTTAGTGTGTCATAAAGAGATGAACCAAAGGGGACGCATTCATTTTCTCCATCAGAGACACAGGGCAGACTTCTAGGTAGCCTGAGATAAATCTTGATGCTTATAGAATCACTATGTGGATAACACTAGTCGAACAAAAGATGTGGCTACAGTCATGTTAACACCGACAAAGGCATCCATGGCCTAGCTAGTTATATCACTGCACCTCCTCAGTGTTGAGGAAAGATTTTGAACACATCTTCTGAGATTGGCAGCCACTGGCTGTGTCCTCCTCTGGTGCTCCTCAGACTTCCACTTAAGACTATGAATTTGGATGAGAAATGATGCATCTACAGGCTTCCATGTCCCCATCTTGGGTTATTAAAGATGTTGGCACTTGGCTTATGACGATCTCAATTCAATAGGTCTGACATCAAGCCCTGGAATCTGCCCTTTTTACAACTCTCCAGGTGGCTTTGATTTGAGGAGCCTAAGGGCCAGAGTTTGGGGACCAGCTCTGTTCTAGCTCCAAAACCTATGTATTTCCAGTGACAGCCATCATCTGAGGCTGAACCAGGGATTCTACAGGTATAAATGACAGCAAGATGATCGGATGGCCTGGAAAGTTTGCTTGACTTGTAGTCCCCCAAAAAACTGTGTTGAAGTCCTAATCGCAAGTGCCTCAGAATGTCATCTTATTTGGAGACGAAGCCTTTACAGAGGTTGATTAGGTAAAATCCAGTATGAATTCATCCTTATTAAAAGCAGAATTTGGAGCTAGAGGGGTAGCTCAGCAGTAGGTGAAGCATGTGCTTGGCATGTATGAGGACCTGGGTTTAATCCTCAGCACAAAAAAAAGGGGCAGAGAGAATTTGGACACAGGCATGCACACAAGAAGAACACCATGTGAAGAAATTGGGTGATGCTTCTATAGTCAAAGCAATGCCAGAAAGTGCCAGCAAACCTCCAAAAGCTGGCAGAGAAGAAGGAACAGATTCCCTGTCTTACAGTGCCCAGCCTACATCTCGACCTCGGACTTCTAAGCTCCAAAACTATAAGACAATAAATCTCTGTGGTTTAAACCACCTAGTTTATGGTACATTGTTACAGCCTCCCTAGAAAACTAATACAGTTAGTTTGCTGCAAAGACTGTGTCTATATACATCTTCTTGAATTCACAAGGGACTCTGGGTTATAACTGGAGAAAAGATAAAGGATTTAAATTGCATGGATTCATTTTCTGGGTATTGGTGTGATGACCATAATGATGCTGACCACTGAGATTTACTATTTGCACAGGGCTAAGCCCTTTGTATGTACCACTTCATTAAATTTCAAACAACATTCCTACAAAAGGTGTATTAAAAAAACACACTTTTCTTACAGATGGAGAAAGTGAGGTTTGAAAAGTAAAGCTGCTGACAAGAGCTAAGATTCAGAGGACCCAGCCCAGAGCCTGGATCTTGACAAGGACATGACAATGTCTGGAATTCAGTGTAGAGCAGGGTCTACAGGCTACAGCACAAGACAGATCCAGTCTGCAATCTGTTTTTTCCTATATCCTGCAAGCGAAGAGTGAATTTTTTTTATTTTTTCATGGTAGAAAAATTAAAAGGATATTCCTTGACAGACTAAAATTATGTTAAATTCTAATTCTGCCTATGAATGAAGTTTTACCCCAACACAACCACAGCCACTCATTTACATATCATCCATGACTCCTTTCACACTTCTAATGCAAGACTGGGTCGTTTCCACAGAGACTCTGCAGCACACAAAGTCTGAAATATTTACTAGCTGGCCATTTTCCAAAGAAGTTTGCCAACTCCTTTTCTACAGAAAAAGTAGAGCCTGCTACTCAAAGCAATCTATGACCCAGAGGCCTCATCCTGGGGAGCTTGTTAGGAAAGAAGGCTTAGTCTCCATCCCAGACCATGGAGTCACAATGGCAACAACATCCTCCAAGGAATTCATGTGATCCTTAAAGTCTGAGCATCACTGGGCTGGCAGGGCAGGAAGGACTCCTGTAGAAAGCCAAAAACCAAGTTTTGTTGAGACAAGTTTTGTTTTGTTGTTTTATTTTGTTCTGACAAGGCAGGCTGGCCTCCAGCTCCCAGGCTCAAGCAGTCCTCCTGCCTCAGCCTCTTAGTCAGCTGGGGCTACTTACAAGCCACCTACTGGCTCCCCAGTGGACTTAGTTGAAGCTTCAGTTAGAGGAAGCAGCCACCAGGTGGCAATGGTGCCATTTTACAAAATGCATTTAAAATTCTACTTATTCTTCAGAAACAGGAGTTGAAGTTGTAGTTCAGTTATGATATGGCGCTTGCCTACAATGTACAGGCTCTGAGTTCAATCCTTAGCACCACCAAAAACAAAGAGGAAGAAGAAAACAAGAAAAGCTTCTCAGCTGTGGACCCACCGGTTCCACCTGCTTTGCTGCAGTGTCTTCCTGGGAGGGAACAGCATGTGCAAAGCTGCCATGATGAGAAAGTATGTCTCTTTTGGAAGAATCACAGGTGACTTGTATTGTGTGAGCCCAGACTCCCAGGGGGATTTGCAGAGGGCTGTGGAGGGCAGCAGAGGTTGTTTCACAGAGCAGAGGGGACATGAGGGTTTGTGCTTCAGAACAAACTTAGCAGTGAGCTTACCGTCGATCTGGACTCCTCAGACCTCTAGTCAGCCTCGTCAGCTGTACAGGCCACACAGTCTCTGTTCCAACAACTCAACCCACTACTACAGCGTGAAGGCAGCCCGAGGGGAGAGAAATGGGCCAATGAAACTTCATTTATGGACACTGAATCTTGAATTTCATTTTACAGTATATGTCACAAAATGCAATCCCTTTTTTTTCAATCTTTTTTTTTTTAATCAAAACTCTTCTTAGCTCAAGGGACAGATTTGGCTTGCAGGCCATAGTTTGCCCACCCTGGTATAGATGAATGGGTGGGACAAGAGGCAAGATCAAAAAGAACCAAAAAGTATGGCAGGCTGAATTACAGCAGTAGGAAAGGAAGGGACAGTTGAAGATGGTGCCATAGGTCCTCTAACATATGCCACTTCCTTCTCCTATCACCTCCCAGGATTAATACCTGCTCTGCTTCCAAAACTATGAGCTAAACTTTTTTCTTTATAACATTACCTTGCCTTGAGTATTTTGTTGCAGTAACAAAAAAATGGACTAATGCAATGACCCTGTGGCTAACTTGTTACTCAATCTCCAGCCCTTCCAAAGGTCAAATAGTGTGGACCAAGGCTCCAACATGAATCACACTGTTGACATAAACTATCTGATGTGGTCCCAGGTGTACAGAGATTCATCAGGTAGTATACACCTGGGCTTAAAGGTGACCTCCCAGGAACAAGTCAATAACCAAAACTTTCTTTGGAACATGCAGGAGACCCCAGACACCTGAGAGGAAGGAGTGAGGAGCTAAGGATGCCATGGGAATCTGCCAAGGTCCTCTCCACATCAGGCCACTTGTCCCCCAATCTGATCAGCCACTCCTCTCCAGGCTGACTCCCCTTCCTTTGGCACAGCCAGCCTACAATATTTATAACAGCCATATGGGCACCCCAAACCTTGAAAGCTAGACACCAGAGCAGCTCCTGCAAAGGTGGCCAGTCCAGCAAGCCTGCATCTTATAAAAGGAATCACTGCAGGGGGAAGGACCAACTAGGAACCCAGCTGAACTTCAGCTTCAATTCCTAGATGCACTTTTCCAAAGGCTACCAGGAGGCCCTGGGCCAAGAAACAATACACAGCTGACTGCCACTCAGATGAGACCATGCCCCATCTCAGGAAGCAGTTGGCACTCTATCTCCTGCTCCTCAGCACTGCTCCACCTTTTCTTCCCCGGCTCCTCTGTGGTCTGACTCTCAGCCAGGGAGGACTGCACAGGATGGGTTACTCACCTCCTCCCCCAGGTGGGTGGTAAATGTAGGGGAGCCAGTGTGGGGACAACTGAGAATGCCAACTGGGGGTGGAAGGAGCTTGGGGAGCAGCTTCCCTGTCTTCCATCCCCCAAGATCTGAGCACACCAAGGAGCTGGCAGATACTTGCACCCCCATTACCTTGCTAACAACTCTCCCTTTGGACCAATGAGGAAACTGAGGCCTACAGAGAATGTCTCTGTTCCATGTCCCCTGAAAACTGACCCTGAGACAAGCATTCAAATACTAGTGATTTGTTGGGGAAGTGATCCATCAAGAAATGCTGAAAATGGAGTGGAGAATCCTCAGAGAAGGGAAGTCAGTAAAGAGTATATCAAAAAGCGAGTTTCCACAGCAGGTAGCTGGACCTAATCTGAATGAGAACATGGGTCGGTGTACACCACTGCACCTCAGCCATCCCACACAATGGGTGAGGGAGCTGGAGTATTTATCTATCAACTCCCTTTGTGTGCCACAGAGATATAGAGTTCTCCTGAAACCTAACTGGCCATCTCTACCTACCTGCATTTGCTCTTTCAATAAATCCCTGTATGTTCCAGGGTTTGGTCAATATATCAGGGCCAATATGACCTACAGCCAATGAGAATACTTGGAAGAAAGAAAATACATACACACATGTGCATGCACAGACACAGGCTCTGAAACCCATATAGAAGCTACCAAAATCCAAAAGAATGTAAAACTTCATTAAGTGTGAAATTCAGCATTCACATCATTTCATAACATACAACATGCAGATAATTTGCTCTCATCAAGAATTTCTGATTGCTAAGACAGAATCTTAGCCAATGGTAAATTAAATGAGCTACATATAGACAAATAAATGCAATAAAGAAAAAAATGCAAAAATGCAAAAAAGGAATAGAAATCCTGCTAAACAGGTTTACAAAAAATAATAAATATTTACATATTTTTGTGTCATGAGGGTATTTCTTTCTTTGTTCTTATTTCTCTCCTGAGTCAGGGTCTTGCTGTGTTTTCCATGCTGGCCTCAAGTTCCTGAGCTCAAGAAATTCTGCTGGCTCAGCCTCTCAAGAAGCTGGACCTACAGGCACATACCACGCACTTGACTTGAACATATTTCTTAATTATTTGATGTGATATACATGAAACCAAGTGCTGCTGTCAACTCCCACTCCTCTGAGGCTCCAGGGTACCCCTGTGGGGCACTATACCTGTGGCCCCTAATCTACTTACAAGAGGTATCTTTTTTTTTTTAAAGAGAGAGAGAGAGAGGAGAGAGAGAGAGAGAGAGAGAGAGAGAGAGAGAGAGAGAGAAAATTTTTAATATTTATTTTTTAGTTCTCGGCAGACACAACATCTTTGTTGGTATGTGGTGCTGAGGATCGAACCCGGGCCCCACGCATGCCAGGCGAGCACGCTACCGCTTGAGCCACATCCCCAGCCCTACAAGAGGTATCTTGACCCCCAACCTCTCTACCCACTGTCAGCAGCTGCCTCAAGGCATCCTAGCAAAGATTTGACAAGAAGGAGGGTGCACTCCACCCTTTTCCAGACTGATTCCTTCCAAACACAGATATCCAAGAAAAATGATGTATGGGACACTAACAATATATCAACATACATATAATGGGAGTCTAAGAAAGAGATTATAAGCAGAAATAGTATTTGAAGAAATAATTGTCAAAAGGCTTCTAAAGTTGATGAAAGATATGAATACACATATACAAGAAGCTCAATGAACTCCAAGTAGCATAAACACAGAGAAGATACATTAAAGTAAGATATGCACAGTAAGACACATTAAAACCAAATACACACAACCTCTTCTGTCCATGTCTCTTGGCTATGGTCTCCTATCCAGACTTCCATTACCTGGTGCCTGATCTCATATGTGAAAAAGATAGGCAAGTATCACCTAGTAGAGCCCCCACCTGGACAAAGAGGCAAATAAGCAAACAAACCTCAGGAACTGTTAAATTCAAGTTATGGCAAGTGTTAGAAAGAAGGAAAATGAATGATGTAATAATGGCTGAACAGCAGTGGGCAGAGAAGGAGTGCCTTCTGAGGAGGTGATAAGAGGCCATCTCAGGAGAATCAGGCCTTCTCAGGCAGAAGAAACTATGTGTAAAGGGCCTGGGGCAGGAACAGTTTGATAAGAAGAAGGACAGAAAATAAGCTATGGTGAGTTAAGGGGATAGTAAAGGAAATGAGGCAAGAGTCTTGTAGGTTATGATGGGAATCTGAATTTTATTTTGGGTGGAATGAACAATCATGGGCAGACTATTTCAGCAGGAAGATGCCATAATCTGATTTCAGCTTTAAATCCACTCTGAACACTGCATGGAGAATAGAAAGTAGGGGTGAAATAGGTATATTTCCCAAGATAGTCACAACACCTCCCATCCCACATCCACAGATACAAGCTCACCTTGACATGCCTTCCACTGACAGAGGTGAGGCCTTCTCCTCTCCTTGAATCTGGGGCTGGAAGTAACATAGTGTTAGAAAAAAAATAATGCAGAAAAGATAATGCAGCTTCTGCCTGTTCACTTTTGGAGCCAAGGGTGGCCATCCAAGAAGTCCAAGTACCCTGAGATCTCCATACTGGGAGAAAGCCCAGAACCTGTGGAAAGGCCATGTAGGTGCCCTCATCCAGTGGAAACTCCAGCCCATGGTAGGCATCAATTAAGACCTGTGCTATGGTTTGGATGTGCTGTGTTGGAAGCTTGGTCCCAGATGTGATGATTAAGAGGTGAGGCCCAAAGGGAGATATTTAGTCAATGGTATGTGCCCTAGGAAAAAACTAAGGTAGTTCTCATGAGAACCCAAATTAGTTCTTGCAATAGCAAGTTGATAAGAGTGAGCCTGACTCTGAATCTCCCTGGTTTCCATCTTGAGATGTGATCTCTGGATCCATGCTACATTCCTGTCATTGTGCTGCTACCATCATCCTTAAGGCCTTCACCAGAAACAAGCTCTATCCTTCCCTTGAACCTCCAAAACCATAAACTAAATAAAACGCTTTTATTTATAAAGTTACATAGTCTCAGGTATTTATCATAAGGAAAAACTATTACGACCAGTCATTGAAGATGCCTCCAGATGTCACTCCTCTCCATTCTGAGTTACTCCTAGCCTCAGTTTTCCCAACTGAGACAATGTCGACTCTGCCCTGTCCATTTCCTGACCCACAGCCAACTGTGAGCATTAAGCAGCTGTTTTATACCAAGTTTGTTTGGGTACCGGGGATTGAACTCAGGTGTATTCGACCTCTGAGCCACGTTCCAGCCTACTTTGTGTTTTATTTAGAGACATGATCTCAATGAGTTGCTTAGCACCTCGCTTTTACTCAGACTGGCTTTGAACTTGCTATCCTCCTGGGATTACAGGCGTACGCCACCTCACCCAGTTCCACCACTAAGTTTGGGGGCAGTTGTTAAACAGCAGTAGTAAACTGAAATTGGGAAGTGGTAAGGAGAGTTGGAGGGGAGGGACTAGGGAGACCAAGGAAGAGGTCTGGGGAGATAGGCCCGAAAACCAAACGGGTGATACTGGGGCTTGCACAGGTTGAAGCACTAGACGGGACAGAGGGGAGGGGGATACATGCAGGATGCGTTTTGGAGATAGACCCCATGAAGTTGCTGGATGCTGGGTAAGAAGGAAGAGGAGAGCCAGGCCTGTCCTCATTCGTAGTTGGGTAGTTGGAGCGGAGAAGAGTATCCCAGAGCCCCCATCCTGTCCCCTCCCGGCCCCAGCCAACTACATCTCCCAGCATCGCCTGCTCCGGCCGCGGGAAGGGGAAAAAAAAAAGTTTGGGCCAAGCATTCCCGGAATGCGCTTCCTGCCGGAGCGGGGCGGGGGGCAGGCAGGGAGGCCGGGGCGGGGCGGGGAGGGCAGCGGGCGGCGCGGCCGGAGCCCGGGGCGCGCACTCGGCCCGGCCTGGGCCCAAGCATGGCCGAGCCCCTGCTCCGAAAAACCTTCTCCCGCCTGCGGGGCCGGGAAAAACTTCCCCGGAAAAAGTCGGACGCGAAGGAGCGCGGTGAGTGCGAGGCGCAGCGAAGGGAAAGGGCGCGGAGCCCCACCCGTCTTAGGGTCCTAGGAACCCGGGCAGGGACGACTGGAAGGACGGGGAAGCCCCGGAGAGCCCCCTGTGGGTCAAGAGGCTCGGAACGCGGGCGGGCAAGGGTCCTGGACGGAAGGGGCCGCGGGGGAGGGGGCGAGGACCGTTATGTGTAGCTGGCCTGAGATGCCAGCGCCGCGGGCTCCTCGGGAGGCCCGGGAGGGGGACCTCACCCCTGACAGGAAATGGGGCCTCGACGGAGCGCCTGGAGGGTAGAGGGGAGGAGGGGCTGGGACGCCGGGACGCTGGGGCCCCATCAGGCAGGACGAAGGGGCACCAGGAGCCCCGGAGGCCAGGATGGGAGATGGGGGGCGTACTCCTGCACAGACAGAGAGAAGCGGCACACTGAGGACTGCAGCTGCTCCCCAGTGACTGCAGCTGCGCCTGCCCTGGGGAGTCCCAGGAAATTGTACCTTTTTATGAAAATGGAGAAACTAAGGCACACCGCAGTTGGGTGATTTGACCTCTGCTACTGATGACAAAGACCCCTGAAACAGGGCTCCGTGGGAGGTGGAAACCCAAGGGGATGAGAATTGTGGGTCAACTGGCAGCAAGACAAGGCCTCAGAGAAACCAAAGCTACATAGGTCAGAGAGCCCAGGAAGGAACCAGTTAAAGGCCAGACCACTCCATGGACCTGACCCCTCCTCCCTTTCCAAAGATTTCCAAGGTTCCCAGGGCCAGAGAAGTGACAGGGTGCCCACACATAAACACACACAGGAAGTAGCCCATGATGTCAGACAGAGGATGGAGCAAAGGGGAGGCTGCAAGGCGTTGACTTTGGGGATCTGGGCTGAGCCAAGGGACAGAGCCCACCCAAGGAGCGGGACAGAGTTTGGAAGAACTGGGTGCTGCAGAGAGAACCAACATTCAACTGGTCTTCCGTTGTTCCATTTGTCATCATGTCATCATGCCTGCTCCTGTCCCAGGAGCAGTACAAGCCAGCATCCTCTGAGGGCTTGCGTTTAGCCATAACATGATGTCTAGGAAGCCCTTCCCACAGTAACTCTCTAAAGTCTCCCCAGAGGTGGGCATTGCATCTTCCCATTCCGCATGGCAGGCACTGAGGCTCAAAGAGGGGAAGTGACTTGCCCAAAGCCACCCAGTGAGAGGGGACAGGACAGGCCTCCATGCCAGGATTAATGAGAGAGCTGGAAGAGTGGAGACAGGAACAAAGGGCCTGTGGGCCCAAGGACACCTGACCTGGACCCCTGATCCTAGAAGAACATAGTTCCCTTTGGAATGCTAGGGACTGAGAGGGAATTCTTAAACTAGCAGCTGAGGAGATCACTAGCTGGTCCCATTCCAAACAAACCAGCAGGCACCAAGAACTGGAAGGGCATTCCCACCTGTCAAATCAATTGCATGGAGTAAGGGCCAATACTAAGTGGACCCCAACCACAGCCCTGCTAGGGGAAGAGCCTTAGGCTGGGGCTGCTCTGGTAAGAAGCTGAGTCTCACTCCCTTTGCTCTCCACCAGGACGACCAGCCCAGCGCCCAGAGCCCAACCCTCCTGAACCAGAGCCCCAGGCCCTCGAAGGGTCCCAGGCTGGAGCAGAGGGTCCCCCGAGCCCTGAGACATCTCGGAGCCCTACAGGTAGGGGAGCCTACTTGCAGAGCTTGGAGCCCAGCAGCCGCAGATGGGTGCTGAGTGGGGCCAAGCCACCTGAGGAAGCAGTTTTGGGGCCAGGAACATCTAGCAGTGGAGAGCCTGCCGGGGAGATCTGGTACAACCCCATCCCTGAGGAAGACCCCAGATCCCCAGTACCTGAGTCCTTGGGACCACAGCCAGGCTCAGCTGAGCCAGAGGGCCCTACCCACCAAGGTAAGCACAAGCCTCATACTTGCCTCCCCATTCCCAGTGACCTCAAGCCTCACATGTCCCCAGTCCCTCCCTAGGTGCACACATGCCTCATACCCTGTCCCCAGCCCAGATTCTGGACCCTGAGGTCTGCTCTTCTCATAGGTGCAGCCCCCGCCAGTCCCCCAACCAAAACCTCCCGCACCAAGTCCCCAGGCCCTGCCCGGCGCCTCTCCATGAAGATGAAGAAGCTGCCAGAGCTGCGTCGCCGCCTGAGCCTGCGAGGCCCCCGGGCGGGCAGGGAGCGGGAGAGAGCTGCTCCTGCTGGCTCTGTCATCAGCCGATACCACCTGGACAGCAGTGTGGGGGCCCCAAGGCGGGCAGCAGTGATCGGGGGCACTCGGAGCCCGAAGGCTGGGTACCTCAGTGATGGCGACTCACCAGAGCGCCCGGCAGGGCCCCCATCACCTACCACCTTCCAGCCCTATGAGGTGGACTCAGCAGCCCGAGCGCCCCCTGCTGCACTCTGGGGCCGCCTCAGCCTGCACCTGTACGGGCTGGGGGGACTGCGGCCAACATCAGCGGCCACCCCAAGAGACCTCTGCTGCCTGCTGCAAGTGGATGGAGTGGCCCGGGCCCGGACAGGGCCACTGAGAAGTGGACCAGACTTCCTTCGGCTGGACCACACCTTTCACCTGGAGCTGGAGGCAGCCCAGCTACTGCGGGCCCTAGTGCTTGCCTGGGACCCCGGTGTGAGGCGGCACAGGCCCTGTGCTCAGGGCACTGTGCTGCTGCCCACAGTCTTCCGAGGTAGGACATGGAATGGAATTTTAGGAGAGGGATATGGCATAGGACCCAGCTTAGGGGGCTAAGTGAAGGGCGAAGGGTGTGGCCTGGCCTAGCTGCGGGGCCAGGACACAGCAACCTCTAGGGCAGATCCAGCCCAGTCCTCTCTGTGTCCTTAGGGTGCCAGGCCCAGCAGCTGGCCATACGCTTGGAACCCCAGGGGCTGCTGTATGCCAAACTGACCTTGTCGGAACAGCAGGAAGCACCTGCCACAGCTGAGCCCCGTGTCTTTGGGCTGCCCCTGCCGCTGCTGGTGGAGCGGGAGCAGCCCCCGGGTCAAGTGCCTCTCATCATTCAGAAGTGTGTTGGGCAGATTGAGCGCCGAGGGCTGCGGGTAAGTCCCAGCCCGCCCCCCCCTCCCCGTCTGCTGACCCCCAAGACCCCAGGGTATGAACACCTATCCTCCAGCCTGGGCTACTCCTAGTTCCAACCCCAGCTTACATAAGGGCAAGAGACACATCTCCCCACACACCAAGTCAGAACCCATGGGTAACCCATCCATTTGATAACAGGATCCTGGCCCTCACAAGCTCAGAGTCTCATAGACAAGACTAGCAGCTCACAAATGTAAGACTGCAACTGGAAGGCAAATTAAAAGGAGGAGGTACCCAGGAGCTAGGAGAGCTTAAAACAGGACCTGGCTTGGCTGACATAGAAGCTTCCTGGAGGATATGAGAAGCTACTTGAAAAGTCAGAGGAGGTAGGAGCCAAGATGACAGATCCAAACAAAGGGTTGTGAGGACAGGTTGTCTGAGCACCCAGGGAAGAACTCCCTGACAAGTGTCGGAGGAGTAGGAAGCAGCCATTGGTAGTCAGTTCCCACCCTCCAAGCCCAATGTCCACTGACACCCTGGCCCAGACCTCCATCCCCCAACCACTGGGTCTGATCAGTCTGTGGCCCCAGCAGGACATCCTCTCTCTGTCCCCACACCCAGGTAGTAGGGCTGTACCGTCTGTGTGGCTCAGCAGCAGTGAAGAAAGAGCTTCGGGATGCCTTTGAGCGAGACAGTGCAGCTGTCTGCCTCTCCGAGGACCTGTACCCAGATATCAATGTCATCACGGGTCAGCCTAGCCCCCATTCCCCTGCCTACTCACTTCCTTTCAACCCTCACCTCAAAGCTGGTCTGGTGGCCCTGCTGGGCCTCACCCCTCATGTCTAACCTGTTTTCACTCTCCTGCATCTGCTCTCCTCTTCTTCTACCCACTTCCAGCCTCGGGGACCCCTCTGGCCTCAGAAGCCAGGGGTGCTCTGACCAGAGGGGGCCCTGTGTCTGCAGGCATCCTCAAGGATTATCTTCGAGAGTTGCCTACTCCACTCATCACCCAGCCCCTCTATCAGGTGGTTTTGGAGGCCATGGCCCAAGGGCCCCCAAGCAGAGTTCACCCAAGTCCTGAAGGCACCCGCAGCCTCCTCAACTGCCTGCCAGATGTGGAAAGGGTGAGTTGGCCCTGGTGGTATCAATGGGAGCTGCAGGACATGGAGTGAGCAATACCAATTCGGAAACTGAGGCCCAAAACAATTAAGTGAATTGCCCAAGGTCAGCCTCAGGATATTTCAAACACAGAGTAAAATACAGATCTGTCTACCTACTAGGAAGAGAAATTCCTGACTGTGAGATCTTGAACAAGTTCTTTCCCTCCCTGGGCCTCAATTCCTTCATCTGTATAATAGGATTCAGGACAACCCAACCTAACAGAGGAGTGGGCCCAACCTCTGTCATTCCAAAGCTAAATTGTCCTTAGCCTCAATTCCCCCCTCCAGCAAAATGGTATCCTCATACTAATATCTAGTGATTAATAGTCTTACCTCAGTCTCCTTCCAGTTATGAAACCTTGAACCTGTTTCCCACTCTGAGCCATCTTAGTATCTCACAGGGGCAGCAGGGGTTCAACTTTGCCTGCCTCCTGCCCACCATCGCAACCCTCTCCCCAGGCCACGCTAACACTTCTCCTGGACCACCTGCGCCTTGTCTCCTCCTTCCACGCCCACAACCGCATGACTCCGCAGAACCTGGCTGTGTGCTTTGGGCCAGTGTTGCTGCCGGCGCGCCAGGCGCCCGCCCGGTCCCGCATACGCAGCACGGGCCCAGGCCTCGCCAGCGCAGTGGACTTCAAACGGCATATCGAGGTGCTCCACTACCTGCTGCAGTCTTGGCCAGGTGAGTACACTCACGGCCTGCGCCGCCAATACAGAAAGGCAGTCGTGGCGATGCGTACCCCTGTGGCTAAATTCTGGGATTTAAAGCAGGCCACGCCCCCTCGCAGGTAAACCGCTACCCGGTTGCCTCAGCAACCGGCTCAGATCCAGCCAATCCCTCTTTGATGCGGCCAGAGGCCCCGCCTCCTGGCGGACCATTCAGGCCCGGTTGCCTAAGCAACCAGTTCTAGCCCGCCAATGAAACGCTAATGCGGTCCAAGGCCTTGCCTTTCCAGAGGCCAATCAGGTCCTCGGTGCCGCTCAAGGTGCGTGTAAGTCACCACAAGCTCGCCCTCCGCTCCCGCAGATCCCCGCCGGCCCCCAGAGGCTCCGGAGGTCGCACCATACTTGCGGCCCAAACGACAGCCACCTCTGCACTTGCCGCTAGGGGGCCCCGAAGTGGTGACTCGGCCCCGCGGCCGCGGAGGCCCAGAAAGCCCTCCCAGCAACCGCTACGCCGGCGACTGGAGCGTTTGCGGGCGGGACTTCCTACCCTGTGGGCGGGATTTCCTGTCTGGGCCCGACTACGACCACGTGACTGGCAGCGACAGCGAGGACGACGACGACGAGGAAGCTGGCGGACCAAGGGGCGCTGCAGACTTTGAAGACGAGTTTGACGCGCCCTTCAACCCGCACCTGAATCTCAAAGACTTTGACGCCCTCATCCTGGACCTGGAGAGAGAACTTTCCAAGCAGATCAACGTGTGCCTCTGAGCCCGCAGAGCGGGCGGGCCCCTGGTTACTAAGGAAGGTTCCTCGTAGCTAAGGCAGTGCCCTAATGACCCGAGAGGCCCAGACCTGTTACTCAGGCCGAACTCCTGGTTTCTAGGGAGTTGTCAAGGTACCAACCTCTCATGCCGAGAATCACTCCCAGTTTCCAGCGGCCAGTATTTGGGCACAAGTTACTGCAAAGGCCAGGCAGCAGGGATATTAGGGACAAGCTGTCAGAGCCATATTTTCTGAGCACCAGGGCTTATCTTGCTGCCAAAAGGCAGATTCCTGCTTGCTAGGCTGGCCTCTCTTGCCTCCCCTTTGCCAGGGAAATACCAATTACTGTGAGCATCACCTGGGGTGGTTAGAAACCCCCTAGTCAGTCCTCTTGCTGCTGCCAACCAAATCAGTATTAGCTTTGAGCACTGCACTCCGTTTCTCCCTCCCTCAGAGGGTCCAAGGACTTATCATGAGGTGCTGTTGAGGGGGATAGCCCCTATCCTGGCTCCAGCTGGATAGGGGTAGCCTGGGGTTTATAAAGAGCGAGCTGGTTTCCCCACCCTCTTTTCCAGGGAAGACCCCATGATTGGCCTCCAACCAGCAAATGGAGATAACAGAGTCTGTCTCTTACCCTCCCAAGCTCCCATTCCCCACTCCTGAAAAAAATTGAGCACTTAACCCCTCCCTTTTGGAGGGACCCCACCTGAAGTGTCAGGTTGGGGGCACTTTGGTACGGAACATATTTATTGCCTCCGTGCATGTGTGTGTCTGTGTGTGAGGACTAGTGTGCATGGGCCCGACTAGAGCGGGTATGTGGGACTTTCAGGGACCACAGAGGGGAGAAGAGTTTGCAGTGCCCAGGCACCCTGAAATCCCCAGTAAGCCAGTGGGAGAGTAAGGTACCCTTCCTGTCTCCCTCTTCTTTCCCTCACCTCCATCTTTGTGGACAATAAATCAATATGCACAGGTTCTGCAGCTGAGTCCTTGGGCCCACCTGGGCCAGAAGTGATTTATTCAGTCCATACGTAAGAGAGGAGGGTAGAGAGGCACAGCTGGACCCACAGAGGCAAAGGCCCAAGGTTCTCCATGGCTGTCTGGTACCTCTTGAGCTTTGATCCCACCACGCCTTTCTCGGGATAACTGTAGTTATTGACCTCATGGAATAGGCTCAGAGCAGGCAAGGATGAGACTCTAAACCATCCAGGAAGTCCAGCCAAGTGTACTGACCCACAAGGCCCTATACAGAAATGGAGCCATCACGGAAGTCTGTCCTCCCAATGAGAATGTTGATCACGACTGGGTGGCCATCCCGGCACTGCTGCTGGCCATCACGCAGCACCTTGACCACATGATCTTCATTCTCCCGTGAGAGCAGCAAGCCCTGGGCCCCCAGACCCATGGCTGCTTTGTGATAATCTAAAAGAGAGCAAGTCAGATACTGGCAGAGGCCCAGCCCAGAATGTAGCCAGTCCAGGAGAGGAACACTAGCCCTGCTGGGCCTGAGATAGGATCCCACCTACCCACACACACCCTGCCCAGACCCCTCACCAGTGTAGGCCAGGCCACAGGCCACATTGCTGCCCAATCTGGGCACCTGCTCCCGAGAAATCTGGGTCCAGCCGGCATCATTGCCTACCAAGGCCATCACTGGAATCTGCAGGAAAAAAAATAGGGCCAGGCACAACCTTCAACCCAAAGGCCAGTCTAGCCAGAAAACAGGGCCTCTGCCAGAGAGGCTACCCCTTCTCAGCCTACCCCTTCTCAGCCCACCCCTGACAGCCTCTCCCAGAAGGGGCTCTAAGCTTCCCTCAGGGAAACCCAGTTACCTTGTGTCTGACGAATGTGTCAAACTCAATGAGACTGTAACCAAAGGCTCCATCCCCAAACAGACACCAGACCTGGTAGGGGGAACAAGGATGGTTAGGGTGGCTCATGACCCCGAAAAAAGAAGTCTCCCATTTCCCGCGCCTCACCTCAGCATCTGGCTGGCACAGCTTGGCCCCAAGTGCAAACCCTGCACCAACTCCCAAAGTCCCAAAGGCCCCTAGAAGGACAAAAAATACAGATAGTTGTGAAGGGTCTGGATTATGAAAGCTTCCCTAGGTGTGGGCTTCTCCTTACCAGGATCAAGCCAGCGCAGGGGGCCTCGGGGCTGTACCAGGTAGGCAGCAGTTGCTACGAAGTCCCCACCATCAACCACAAGAAAGGAGTTGTCAGGCAGAGTCTCCTCCACCAGCTGCAACACCCGCAATGGGTTCAGGTGCTGGGCTACAGGCATCGCTGCCTTCTCCCTACAACAGGGATGCAAAAAGTCAGTAGGCCCCATGGCAGAGCCTGCTGGGAACACACCCTCCCACGTCCACGCCATCCAGCCCCCACCGAAAGGTCTGCTCCTTCTGCCGATCCGCTTCCCGCAGCTCTTCTGCCCACTCTGGAGCCCACATCTGGCCCTGAAGGCCTTCTACCAGCTTCAGCATGAAGGAGGCCACATCTCCTAGAGAACAGAGAGAGCACAGCTTCAAAGCAGTGCCTTCCTCCTGCCCTTAGCACCAGAGGCCTGAAGATGGCAGGAAGCCAAGAGCAGCATCCAAGCAGAAGGCATGGAAGCAGGCCAGGGGTGCTCCTAGGGCAAAACAGGCTAAACACAGCTGAGTCACCAGAACCAGATAAGGGCAGCCCTGGCAAGACACAGCACAAACCAGGGAAATGAGGTTTAGGGAATCCAAAGCAAATTACAAACCCAATCTAACCTCATCACCTCCCTGTCCTTTACACCCCATATCATGAAGTCCTGTCAATTCTACCTTCAAAACACAGCAATAAAAATAGCTCTGCCCCACTTAAGGAGGTCTCTCAAACCAAGGCACACAGGAGCCTGCAGTGAGCATCCAGGTGGTGAATGAGTAAACACCCCACTTGAGAAGTGATCGGAGGCCTTGAGATGTTGAGTTCCTCACTCAGTCTTTTCCCACTTTGGGCCATATCTTTTCTGTCCTGGCCCTAATCGCCCTTCTCCTCCTCTGCCAGTTCCCCTTCCAGGCGAATGCCCACCAGCTGCTAGGGTGGACATTCCCAAACACAAATACACTGGACCTGCTGCCCACCTAAGAATGCTCCCACACCATGGGGGAGAATCGCTGTCCTCAGAATGACAGAAAGGGATGGGATGCAGAGTCTCAGGGGCCAACAAATAAGCTGACACAGAGAGGGCAACAGGCAGTTCAAATGTACCCAAGCAAGTGATCATGTGCATATTTCCAGCCCCCTACCCACCTCTCCATTTGTTCCTATGGAAACACCCACCAGCCTGACAACCAAATGTGTCTCAGGTTGCCTGGGTGTCCCATAGGGCAGGGTCTGGGCCTTGATCTCCCAGTACCCAGCTCAAGTCAGCTGCAGCAGAGGCCATGAGGAGAGTGACCATGTAAGTGGTGAGGATACTGGGGGCTCACCCTGCACAGCCTCCTGGGGCTTCCAGAAGATGTCTGAGTTGAGCAACATATCATCTCGGTTCCGATTGATGATAATTATCTTGCTCTTATGGCTGAGGATACGGCCATAGGAGAGGCGAAAGTCACACACAGCTCCTGGGATGAGGGATAGGGCATCAATATCAGAGGGTCAGTGCCCTAGGTGATGCCCACTACCTTACTTTTAATCCACTGTGGACACTGTTATATAGTTCCCATTCTTCACCTCTCCCTGTTCCTATACCATTTGCAATGACTTTGCAGCTCTTGAATCTGGACTGGCGTCATGAGCAGCTCTAGCCAACAGAATGTGGCAAAAGCAATAGCATGCCATTCCTAAGACTCAAGGCAAAGATGGGAGCTCAGTAGTACAGAGCTTGCCTGCCATGCACAAGGCCATGGGTTCAATCTCCAGCATAGCAAAGAAAAAAAAAAAAAGAGGCCAGGTGTGGTGGCACACACCTGTAATCCCAGAAACTCAGGAGACTAAAACAGGATAATCACAAGTTCAAAGCCAACCTCAGTAACTCAGAGAGGCCCTAGTGACTTCACAAGACCCTGCCTCAAAAAACAAAAAACCAAACAACAAAAAAAAAAACAGCATGTCTCTCAGCCTCCAAATAGTGACCCAACCCAGGCTAGCCTGCTGGCTGCTGGAGGATGCAGAACATGGAGGTAAACGTGGAGACTTGGTTATCCAGCCGAGACACCCTTGAACAGCCACAGAGCCAGGCAACTCCCAAATAAATGAGCAAGGCCCACCTCCACTAGCACAGCTGCCTGCCCAGACTTAGACTCATGAACCAGTCTGACCAAACCCAGAATTACCACCAAACCTCTAGGTAGGTCTTAAGAAATCACTGTAAATCACTGAGTTTGGGGAAGGTTATTACAGTCCTGGAACCACATAACAATGTTCTGGTCAGTGGCAGATCACATACACATGTGACTATGGTCCCATGACATGACATCACCCAGTGATGTCATAGCCACATTATTTTTCATAAGTTCACTTGATGATGTTCACACAATGCATCTCTCAGGATGTAACCCCATTGTTAAGAAATGCCTTGACTGTATACAGTAAGACTGTATACAGAGAATGCCTATTATGCACTTGGCACAGGATTCAAAGGGCTTTTTGTGTAAATGTAAGACACAGCAGGGACACTAGGGTTCACCCTCAGTGGAAGCCCAGGCACAGCACACACCTGCATCCTGGGAGGGGTTCAGCAGAATTTTAGACTCAAGACTGATCAAAAGGGAAGGTGAGAAGGCAGAGGGAAGAGGGCAGGTGGTGGGGGGCGCGTATCAGTGATGAGGAGGGGCGGAGGTTCTTGGAGGGAGGGAGGGTACTGAGGCCCACCTGCCAGGAGGACAACATCTGCTTTCTTCAGGGCTGCACCGCGGTTCTGCCGGATGTGGAGGGGGTGGTTGCGGCCCAGAAGCCCCCGTGCCATCCCCCCCAGGAAGCAGGGGACGCCTAGGGTCTCCACAGCAGCCCTGGGGATTCAGGCAAAGCAGAGATCAATGTGCCCAGGGCCTCCTCCCTCCCCACAGGGCACCAGAGGACCAGGGACTGGGAACAAGGGCTAGGCTAGAGCTCCTCACCGAAGCTTGTCAGCAGGTACTGGGGGCAGCAGGGCCTGACTCCCCAGCAACAATAGGGGCTTCTTGGCCCGGCTCAGGATCTCCACACAACGCTGAACCTGGGGCAAGAAGTGGGGCTCAAAGGGTTGTCCCTGAGTCACCATCCGCCCGCAAGACTAGGGTCCCAATCCTGGCTCTGGGAGAGGGTCTGTAGAGCTCTGCCAGATGGGGAACCTGGGCCAGGTAAGGAATTCACCTGTTGAGGGGATGCCTGGGGGATGTCCAGGGGCAGGGGCCCTTCAGGCTGAGGCTCCCACGCCCCCACAAACAGGTTGGCCAGGCAATTCTTTAAGTACCTGCAAGGAGGAAATGAAGCAGCCAGTTACCAGAGTGCACCAGAGGGATTCCAGCCAAGGAAGGTGAGGGACCAGGAAAGCGACTGGGAGCAAAGTGGAAAGAACAGAGGTACATAAGCAATGGCCTAGGGACACCAAGCTTCCAGCTGCCTGTCTGCTCTCAGAAGCCTCTGTGGCCTCCCCAAGTTGACAAGGCCCCCGCAGAAACAAGTAATGCAAGGTGTCAGGATGGGGGTGGTACCTGTGGGTCAGGTAGATGTCGGCTTGGGCCCCCCAGGTTATGCCACTTCCTAGCTGTGTGACTTTGAGCAAGTGACTTCACCTTTCTCAGCTTCCTCCTCCATTTATTTAAAAAAAAAAAAAAAAAAAAAACCCTTCCCTTCCAAGCTTCAAAGAAGGGTATAAGGTACTTTGCAAAGCATTCAACCAAGCCCTAGTTATTAACATTGTTCCCCTGTTTTGTTTTTGTTTTATAAATGGAAGGATCCCCTGTTTGTTAACAGCGTGTTCCCAGGCCTTGAGTTTTCTTAAGGCCCTGGAGACAAAGAGAAAT